GGACCGGAGTTGCTTTACACATTCTTGAACCGGAGTAACCACACACCTCCTGGGCCGGAATAACTTCACTTCTCCTGGGCCGGAGTACCTACACCTCTACTGGGCCGAAATAACATTACGGCTTCTTACCGATTCCTTCATACTTTGGGCCGCAGGGCCCAACTCACAGCTCGGCCCAATTCTTTCCCAAAAATTACCCTCTCAATTGCCCCCTTAATTTCATCTGCAAATTTTTTTTTTTTAATGGGAATGTGTGGCTTTAATATATGCGTACACAGTTTTGTTTTCATTGAAAAACAGTGAGCGGTTTGCAAGAAACGACTGTAACGCTTCCCTTTCCCTTGCCACGTGGCGGGCTCTGATAGGCTGTGAGCTGTTATCACGCCGCCTTCGTACTTCGAACTTTTTGAACGGTCCCGCCCCTTTTTGCCGCTTTTTTTCTCTCTCATCTTTCACAAAATAACCTTTCTTTTTCTTGAATCATTCACCTTCCATTCTTCATCTTCTCTCTCTGTGTTTTTGTTGTTCTTCCGTTGCTTCTGAAGACTGATTTTGCTGCCACTTTCCCATCATCGGATCCCCCTTCTCCCACCTGGTAAGTAAACTCATTTTGCTTCCTTTATCTTGCTTTCGTATCTGTATAGCTTTGTTTTGTATGCTTTTTGCAAACATTTTCTTTCATTTGTCGCTTCGCTTCTGTACTTTTATGAAAAAATAATAGCAGAGCTCATACGTGCATGAACTTCTGTAAAAAACTTGCCTTAGATCCAAAATTAGGTAGCAACCGAACTAGGATCCTGTTTGCCCTAAATAGGCAGATCACTATAGTCAATAACCGAACTAGAACTTGAAAGTCTCAAAGAGTCACCAACGCCTGACTCACTTTAGCCGAAATAAGATCACCGAGTTTTGAACATATCAAACTAGGAACCTCGGTTTTCAACCGAACTAAGCTTTTGGGGCCAAGCCAGCTTTCTTAGTTTCTAAACCGAACTCAGAAAGCTGCCCCTAGAGGATAAACCGGGCTAACGAGCAACCTGCTGAAATCGAGCGACCAAACCTTTTGATGAACCGAGATAGAACCAGTTTTTTGAGGCCGAAGTAGGGCTCTTATACCTTGCTTTTAAATTGTAGCACGGTCCAACGATCAGTGCTTTAACCCTCTGTTTTCTACTTTGCAGACTTAGGTTACCCAGGCACTCCTGCGTGCGCTCAACCGAGCTACTGAGCACGATTTTTGCACCGATATAAATTATAAGTAAATTATACATCAGATAGGTAAGTATA